TGTAAACAAATTAAAAAAATAAAATAGTGAAGTTATGAAAATCATAATTGGGTTGAGAACCGCCTCTTACGATATCTTAAAGCATCGGTCCACACCATCTATCAACTATTTACTGTTGACCATACGAGATCTGACCATCGCAGTTCACATTGTCGATCTTTCCCATGAATAAGCAGCTTTACAAGCGATTTGAAAGTCTTGCTGATTTTAAAGTGATATCAGCCTTAATTATTTAGAATGGAGTATATTGTGCAATTGATATTAGTTCTAAAATAGTAAAATGCAAATCCGAGTCTAATACCAGCACGATTTAGAATCGGGTTGCAAATACAGTACACTTTAAACTATGAGTTTAAGACTTTCCTAGGTAATTATCCAAAGGTACAATCATTTAATGGAACGAATGACGTGTTGGAATGTGTACCAAAATACTCAATGGTAAAGATAGTGAAGTGTAATTACGCAATAGTGACTTGTAATCATTTTGGATTGAATACAAATTTCAAAATAACTTATCATAATTTTAATTATTCTAAATCAATTCCAAAAAAATAATACACTTACTTGAGTGATTTTATAAATGATCTCTTATGAATGATAAAATGCTGCGTTGATGTAAGGAATCAAATCGGAGCAATTTTGATGTCATCCTTTGGTCTATTTGTACACCTACTGGCCAATCAGCACTTGATGTTTATAGTTGCAAAGTTAGAGTCGTGAAACTTGCTAAGTACCTCATCGACACGATAAATTAAAACAAAAGAAGGATATTCCAAGATGGTCACTTAACGACCGTGTTGGTGGAAGAAAAGTGGTCGTTGAAGAGGTTTCTGAAAATAATCCGTGACAACAAAAAGTAGCATACGTTGCATATTTTCTTTCAAACCATTTATATGTTTTAAGTCAAATGTTTTATGGAAAAAGATTTACCGTTATTCTTAATTAATTAATTCATAACTATTCATATCTGCGGCTGTTGATCCACACTACATGTACCTTGTGTTGCATAAATAGAAAAGGGCTATACATAAAAATGTTAAAAAAGAAGTCAAAGTCCTTTATTAAGCCAGATTAACAATACATTACATTGGCCAAGTCAAGAGATTACATTTATTATGAAATTAATTAACTACTAAATAAATTATATAAAAATTGTTGTTTTTTATGTTTTATGTTATGTTTTGGGATTTGTTTAAATTGTGTAATGCATGTCAATGGTCTATGTGAGAACCGTATTATAACCGAACTGGTTAGCTAATTGATTGAAGAAGATAGAGGATAGATTCACGAGGCATTGTTATTCTTATAATGTCCTGATTCATGTTGCAAATTGTTATTGAATCAATGAACCACACAAGAATATTGAATTTGCTAAGATATTTAAAATCGATAAAGCCCGATAAAATAACGAATTTCTAGTAGGGAAAGATATTTGTTCACATCTGGTACCCCTCCTTTATTAGTAAAACCATTAAATTAGTTTTTTATGAAGATTTGTCAATAAGATGAAGTTGTTAACACTCGTAATTTATTATAATAATACATGTGTACCTTTGTCACATTTATTGTGTGCTATCAAAAAGATTTTTAGCTATCATCTAACTTTCCATAAAAACTACATTTTACTTACAAAATCGCAGTGGCTGAAGAGATGATTCTGGTCAAGAGTTCGCGGGAAGACTACCATCGCCGGACGAGCGCCACCGCGGCGGGCGAAGCCCCCACCACCCCATCACATCGTGCATAGCATAACATTATACGCTATGGTGAGATGGGTGGAGGTGGAGGTGTCCGAGAAGTGCATCCAGCAGTAGCCACCAGCCCCCTGACTGCAGTCTAGAGACCTACTTACCAAAGATTACAATCGTTTGGTATTTTTCGGAAAGCATACTGTCCTTAACACCAGTTAGTAAAAACAGTTTGATACATGCAAATAAAGAGCTTTGTTAATATTCGTGATCGAAAAATAGCTATTTGTGTATTCAGAGAGAAAAGTACACCATTGCCGCTCGAGAACTGAAGATAGCAATACATTTCGAGAGCGGTAATGACTGTTTAACATAACAAACAGATTAACTGTTTGGATGCTGATAAAATGTCATTTAGGTTATCTTTACTTTTTTAGGTACATATTTGCTTACCGAATGTTAGTTTTTTTTATAGAAATGCCAATAAATGAAATCCGCTGATTTGGGGAGTGAGAATGGTCATTCCCGCTCTATAGCGGAAATGAGTTATTTTGCGTACTGTTTACAGGTGTGGCAATGTGATAATTTCCATGCAGTGGTAGGGAAAATGCATTGTTACACAACAATATACCTACGTCTGGTTACATCTTGTCGATCAACAGATTCTGGGACGATACAATATCTGTTAACATTGACGTTAAAGCTGAAGTACTTGGTAAGCCCTTTGAATAATCAAACATTTCTCACACAGTAATTGTGACATTGAAAATTTTCCCCGGAAATGGGGGATTTAGGACCTAACTCCAACATTTCAAACGATATTATTCTAAACTATTGGCCAGTGTAGTCTTTACTTTGGGGATACTTTCAAGCAATAATCATATGATTCTGTCTAGCCTTGATGTATTTGATTAACTTGACAGAAGCTTAAAACTCAGGCCTTCTACTACAAAGGACGAGTCAAAGATGAGGCAGGAAATCTGGTGCGTATATTTGATTGTTGTTTGTTGGATTGTAGATTGTGCTTTGGGAGGAAACGCATTGTAGTTTCAAGATCAGTATTGAAGAAGGTTGAAAATACCTGTATCATTAACAGGTACTTATGGATCGAAGCATTTCAAATTTTGCACAGATTTTTTTAGAGTGGAAACCTACCTCGTTTGTTCAGTAACAGCTTCAAGATTGACCGCACAGTTTAAGTCAATAAGTTCAGCTTTTTGGCCTGAACTCAGTCCAAATCCTGCATACAGACGGTCAGTTTTAACTGTCAGTTAGAACTGACAGTTAAAACTGATCGTCTGTTGTAGGGCCCTTTAAGAATGCTTTCAATGTAACTTTCCCAATCCAAGTGTTGGAGTTGGTCTGATCTAATTAGTCAATCCAATCGACGTAGTCGCCACATCGTTTATGTATGCACATAATGTTCACCCCAGATAACTGCACGTACTCCCCCTCTCTTCAACGTATCTCCTGCACTCTACTATAGACAATGTGCATTGTAGTAATGCCCTAGCTGACACGGCACGGTTCTCATCCAACAACCAACTAACCGTCGCATAATTACCGTAATAACAAACGCAATCCATATTCAATAATCATGTTATTTAAGGGTTTATCGATGATATTTCGCAACCCGATTTGGTAAAAAACAAAGTTTTGGGACGTTTATTCTGGAATTGGATCCCTTTCTCGGGTAAGAAAATATGAAACAATAATTTAAAAAAAAATGGCTTTTGTGATTTTACAGCTCGTCGCACGAAATTATCTCAATTTTGCTCAACTTCGAGGATCAATGAGCTGTGTTTGTGTACTCCTGTCATGTGTACGAACCTCTGTGCTCTCTGGTACCAACAATATGTGCGTATACAGTATACTACTATCAGTTGTACTATGTTCATGAGTGTTTCCGCAGTAATACTCCATGAGCGACAGTTATATATATATACTACTGTAACTCCATTCATCGTCCTTTTCAACGCATGTAATATAATAACCAAAATATACAAATCTTCCTAATAGATGGATCAGCATTTCAATCAACCTTTATGTATATTAAATCAATTCCACCAGCTATACAATCATGATTCTGCTAACAGCCAAGAAGTCCATTTAAAGAGGTTTTGGAAGTATTACATGCCAGGATATTCCCAAAACTGAAAAGACTTGTGACCATTCCCCAGCGTCATTGGTATCAAACAAAGTTAGAAGATAAAAATAAATAACAACTATTGAAGGCAAACTATTAAATACCAAAACTTGACGTGAAGCAGTCGATCACGTGTGTCCCCTTAGAGTACTTTCTACAAAAAAGTATACGTCAGCCATATCCATGACGTAGCTAAACCATTAGTCATTAGTATAACCTTGAGTAATTTACAACGACAACCTATGACAAATACACAGAGAAGACGACAGGCACCATTAGAAGTGTCTACAGGTTTTGCGCTGGCGGATAGAAGCGATCATTAAGGCCCTGTCAGTAGGGAAAGCAGCTGGATAAGTGGCATCTTAACCGAATTTAAAAGTCATACCAGCTAGACTAACACCCAGGACGAGAAGGGGTTGAGACCAAAGATCTGGTATATAGTGTATGTGGGACGATAAAATATATTTTATTATGCAAAATCTTTATGGTACTCACTGTCAGCTTATCTCTCTGGAAAGATGTCCATGATTCGACTGAAAATACGTCTGGTTTAAAAAACAACCGATTGAATAGTCGATTGTTTTCCAGTCGGTTGTCCCATCACTAGTACAAGCGTTAACCACCAACGCCTCTTTGCACGACGTTCAAACAATGGACGGAAACAAACCAAACTGGCATTTTTTATTATTTTGTTACAAGGCCTGCCACATCGTCAAATATAACAACATTTGATTTTGGGGTTTTAGCTAAGCAATTTATTTTATTTTATTAAGTTATTAATGATTTTCTGATAATCAATTCGTAAATATATCTAAATTATTTAATAAAAGCCAATATAAAAGGGGTAACACACAGATACAATAGATAAAAGTAGATGTTGTAGTGTTTTAATACAAGTAGATTTTTATTTTTTTTTTCTGAATAGCTTGCACGAGTCAAATCATAATTTAAACATTGGACCTAAAACAAGTAATGAAATGCTCTCCCTCATAGTTTAAATGGAGAAGTACTCTGCTGATTGATACGTTGATAGGGTTGAATGAATATGTGATGTAGCCAGGAGATTATTTATAGAAGACATTGATTGTGGTGATGATGTATACGGGGGGGGGGGGTCTCCTTCATTGACCAAACACAGCACAGTACAGCACACTGCCGATGCCGCAGAGAGCGAGGCGACGACCAACTAAACGGCTGGTCTATTATATTGGTATGTTGTTTGTTACGAATATTAAATCTAATTATTTACATAGCGTTATCGCATTGATACAATTAGTGAATGACCAGGTTGTAAATTAAATTATCCTCCTATAATCCATCTTATCCACTTTTTTTTCTAAGAAATTATGATAAGCTTAATGGAATGAAGTTTTGTTTATCACCATTGCTAGTTCCATCAAAACGAATTTTTAAATAGAATATGGTTCCAATTGTTCTATTGATGGGAACTTTTACTTTGGAACTATTTTGCTTTTGAAATTGAGAAATCATTTTAAGATATAAAATGTTGAAACTATTTGGAATAAAATAAGTTCCTATCATTTTTTTCAGTGCTTACGATTTACTATTACTAGCGATATTTGAAGTACTGTTTAATACATGTCTTTAAATTAAAAGTACTGCGTGAATAAAACCATTATTTATTAATTTGCCAAGATCCTTAAATTTGTTGTGTAAATAACCTAGGCTGAACCCGTCTGCACTAAGGAAAATAAACTAATATCAACATGGGTTAGAGTATACATAGTATTTTTCTCGATCACTCATCATTAAAACCCATGTTATTCGTCACCTGCATTTAAAATATTGGTTAGTTAACATTTGTTAGTTTAACATAAATATCAATTATTTGACTACCACATCAATCACATTAAATTACTATGTTTAAATCCAGCAATCCTGCATGGTAAATAACAAATACTATTGTTGTAGTCATTTTGTGGTTGTGGTCGCAACGGACACGAGTAAATTTACTAACAGATGTATTATTATATTATATTATATTATTGCCGAACTATATTAAATTTGTTTTTGTAACTTCCCAAAAATAATAAGAATACATATTATTAGATGAACCGTATTAAAAATGTTTCTGGCCGATCAAGTGTAGGCCATTTTACTCATAGTAGATCCCTGTTCTTGAGAATCAAAATTGTTTTAACTTGGATATAATGGAATTAAAAATAACGGTAAATATAGTTCTACTTAATGGAGTTCAGATGGTTCAAATATACCCAATGTAATGGAGCTATTAATAAATCATTCACGTCCAAGGTTTGGAGCCATTTGAAGCACTCCTCGATTTGAAGATTCTTAACTACTGTATTTGCTCTTTATGATCATGGCGTGGTGGAACAGACGTTTGTTATGAACACAAAAATAGAAGTTTTCCTGTTTAAAGCTATATTGTCTGCAAGTAACACGACAAACGTAGACTCTTGCGTGCTCTCGACTCGTCTCTGAATAAATTAGCACTCTAATGAACCATTACTCCAATACTCCCCTACAGATGCAAAAGCTATTACATAATACGAAAAGGAACTTTGTGGATTTAATACTTGAAAATGTAAAGACATAATGTCCGTTGTTCACTTTACGAAAAAGCAATAAAAATAAGAAAAGATAAATATAACGTAGAAAAGCATTATTGTTTAATATTAATTTTCATTTGGGAATTTGCATCAAAGTTAAACATTGCTCGACTGTTCAGTAAACTTGTAAACGTTTATTTAAAACTCTGCGTTTTACTTACTGTACATCTCTCTAACATGGGCTATAATTACATTTGATTATCACACTGTTAAACACATATTTTACATGAAAGCTCAAATAAAACAGTTAGTTTTCTTGTAAACATTATAAAAGTTTGTTTATTTCTTTCTCTCTCACATATTCTTTCAATTTCAACTTTACCCCTCTGGTCCTTCAAACTATTTCTCATAACCTTTTCTAATTTAACTCTCTTATATCTCGATCATTAACTTTATTTTCTTAAAATAACATTTCATTCCCATACCAAACATTGGTACTTCGAACCCAGGTACTAAATATCAGTCTTTCCTCTTTAAACACTGCTTAAAAAAGAGCCGGATGGTCTTTATTGTAATTCTCACATAATCTTACACCAGTTTAAACCAGGCAAAATATACAACTTAAATCACAGGCATTCTCAATGGATAATATTGATAAATTTAGTAAATCTGAAAACATAATTTTCACCACGTTCCAGGATCTGAAATCTGGTCCAATCTACAAGTTGCCTGGTTTGTTAAGTCATCTTCCGATATCCGGAAATACTACTTAGAAACCGGGTCATATCAGAAACGCCGAGAAACTTCTGTTTTAATATACAGTGATACAATATAAACGTTGAAGAGCATTTTAACAATACAAACCCAACATGACCAGTATTGAACTTGGTACAAAAAAAATATTACAGGGTTGAAATAAGGGGTGAATCCTAGTGATATTCAAGTGGGAGCGGGATAGGCCGAAAGTCACATCCTCACTAGGTTGAAAAACAATATGCATCACTAAATATTACGTAGCGTATATGAACGCTATGATAAATACTCCTGCAGTATTTAGGATTTGATTCAATCTTAAATTGTAAGGAGCACAAATTCGCTTTCGTTTTCTGGCACAATTATTTTCTGCGTTACTTATGCTACATTACATTCACACGCATTTCAGACACCTAAGATTTAACCAAACGACGCTCCACCACCAGGTACTTTATGAAGGTAATAATCCTAAGCTTGTTAGAAGTTTAATATTAAATGGTATGTGATATTTTGAAAGAGTTACACAATAAAGAGTCAAACTAAACCTAACATTCATTTATCTATTTCCATCGGCATAGTTAACTCTTAATCGAAGAAACAACCATGCATTATTCGCTTTCTAGTGACTAGTGAGATCCACAGCCCTATGTACCTCTTGCCTGTGTACCACTCAAACCTGATTAGCCTATAGGATACGCCCTAATTACTGGCATGCCAAGTCCAGGCGACAGTAACTCTAATCTCTAGGGATCGCCTTCCTTCGGACTTGAACGATTAAGTATGTCCTACTTCTCTACATTTTATGATCTATTGAATCTATAGATTCGGGGTATCTATTCGGGGATCTATTTCAATAGATTTGATCTATAGATCAGATAAAGAAATCGCATTGCTTTAGGTTTGGTCCCGATTATGTAGTATTAGAAACAGATGATTTAATAAGGATAAGCAAATTGTGATTGATCTCTTTTAGGGAATTACCCCATATAACGCAATTAAATAATTAATTGTTAGTAACTACTAATATACAGGGCTACATCCCCAGCCCATATACATCCCACAAAGCTTTTTTCGTTCCTTTCCGGTTTCCGCAAGCTTGTCGTCATCGTCAGATTTCAGTAGACTTTCCTCCTCCATTGGGGTCAGATCGTCTACGTTGTTCCTATCCCAGGGATACCGGGTATCTAAGGTCCATCTCCCCAGTAACCCGATTAGAGAGGTAAGGGGTACATACGACTGGGTTCCCCCTCCCCAGTGCCACGAGACTCTCTGCATCACATGGATCGCATAACACCTTAGTCAAGGGCCCCCTCGGCCACAGACAATATCTCGGCCCTCACTTGGTTCTGTAGGTGGACCAACACCCAGTGGCAGAAGGTAGCTCTCCGCAGCTACAAGTTAGAGTTGGAGTTTGGGTGCAACCAGTCTGTCGAACCAACCCCGCATGCGAGGTTTGGCCGGAACGGCGCGAAAGGTTCTCCTACTCCCTAAACCCCCATATACCTTCCTGTTCTAGTATGTAATTTCAAAACATTTGTTTTAATATTAAAATGTTTGTTATTTTTTTATATTCAAATATCTTTCTCACTGGATTTGATACCATACGAGTACGGTAAACACATTTTGGACAAGTGACGGACGATATTCTTTTATACTACTCTAAATTAACGAAATACATAAAAAAAATTAAGTCCGTCAAGTTCTCACCGGCTGGAGGACTTTACAGTTTCTAGTCATAATTCCTGAAAGATGTTTTCATATAACCACTCAATACTTTTAGAATATTATACTTATATATGTTACTTTTAATTTAAATTCAAACACTCATTTGTAATTTTATCTTTAGAATTAAGTTTAGTGTACATTTTGTTAAGTTGATCATTATTTATGTTTACGAAATATATGAGGTTTTCAATAACTAAAAACAATTATTATTAGGTGGCGTCCGGCAAAATTCCTTACCATACACTTGTGCGTATGGAATCCTATTTGATTATAAGCAGACGGTAAACAGCTGTTTTCCGCGGTGCACCGAAACTCCCCCGCATACTATCTCGACCAAAAGGGTTCGCTAATCCCCTAACCGAAACTCCCCCGCGAGGATGGCATGTACCTGAGCCCACCAGGTTTGTCATACCGCGTAATGACTCAGAAATGCCACCCTCCAACCCCCCCCTTTCTAGCACCAATGATGCAGGGAACTACATAAATAATTGTGAACTACAAAATACTTTGCCCCAAATAAATACAAATAATAAAAATAATTTCAATTTTGCTTAGGTTTTCTAAGCGAGTAGTACTCTGTGATTCTGTGCGTTTGTTTTATTGCTTAGTTAAGTAGTTAGTTCATTTAAGCTAGCTATGCAACAGGTTATTTGTGAGCAAGGGCAAGTAAACTTGGTGAAAGACAATTATGTTTTTTGTTCTTGAGGGGTTTTAAAGAGTGAAGAAGAATAAGAAGTGACGTTGTAGCGAAAATAATTGTAAGGTAAAGCTGTATACCTTGGCTTCTGGTAAACTCTTTTCCCGAGAAAAAGGACAACATAGTCATGTTGCTAGAGGTAATTGTTCTTCATTTAATATGCTCAGAAATTATGAACCAACCTGTAACCTTATCGTAAGTCAAAACAATCGCAAAAATTACGACTTGCTGTAATACTTTGATGAGTAATTTTGAAGACGTTGTTTCATTCTATGTAGGCCTAAAATGTTTCTTGTTAAAAAAATATTTTTAGTTTATGTTGTCATCTCAAGTTCTCAACACAAAGGTTGTTTTGGTCTTAATTATTCACAAAACAGTTTACACTATCTTTACCCGTGGCCTACTCCAATGCCGCGGAGTGTAAAATAGAGTGTAAAACAATTTGAACAAACATCAAAACAACAAAAATTGTCTATTGTTTTTCAGCAAAAATCTAATTCTAATTACTATTCAAAACTAAAATAAATAAATTTAAAGTCTCGAAAATAAAATTGAATTTGTAAATAAAATCCTCTATTGAGTATACCAATCCTGCTTGTTTCCAACCTTAATGTTATGATTGTCACTTTACATGTTCTTTTGAGGTAATTTTAGCTTGTGTTCCTTAAAGGACCACACAATGGAAAATAATTTATAAATAAAAACTTTTTTAAAACAAAACGTTTTCAAACGCACTAAAAAGTAAAAAATAATTTATAACTATGTGGAGAGTATAAATACTTGTAAGATTTAAAACGAAAAACGTTTTTCGTTTTAAATCTTACAAGTATTTATACTCTCCAAATATTTATAAATTATTTTCTACCTTTTAGTTTTGAATTTTTATGGATGTTAAATCTATTTCAATTATCTATATAAGATTAAGACAGAGGCATGTGGGAAATCTAAGGTTTATTTGAGTTTATTTTCATATAATCATGTATTAGATTGAATGTATGGCCTACCTACTAACTATAAATATATCAATCTATTTAATTTATTGTTTACTTTATAGAATACTAAATAAATAACAAATGACATTATTAACAAACACCTTTACATCTGCAATCAGATTGTTTATCTTTATTTTGAATTGTTTGTTTGTATAAATAATCTCTTGGGAGCATAACCTGTACCTCCCTCTGCTCTTCGAACCGTCAAATTGAAGTATTTACAGCTGAATTAAATTAATTGATATATTTACATTCTTTCAAAATGTAAACATGGAAAATTTGGAAGCCCATGGGGCGTGTAGCACAGGGGAAATATGAATATTAAATTATATGTTATTGCATTGTCATCCATTTGTGAGCTATGTTTCAAGTCTCTAGCTCATCGGGAACTTAGTGTAAAATTGATTGCAAAATTTGTACCGGACAAGAAAGCGAGCTAATGAAAACGTTTTAATAAAAAGTGGTCCTAGTCTTATGTCTTATACCATGGTAATAACTTCTTCCCATGTGTTCATTTTAAATCAACACACATAAACGGAGAAATAAATTTGTAAAAATATGATGTACAGTATTTTAACTTGAATTTTCTAGTCTATTGTTGACCTTGCAATAAAATTTCAAACTCGAGTATCTATACTTTTTGACTCGATAGTAGGTACTCTCTCTCCTTAGTGATGTATGAAGGGTTTTAAGAGAATCTCCGCGTTCTACAATGACAACGAAAACTCTCTCCCTGTCATTGCCTCCCCTTGGATTCCAGGAAGGACAGCGGGGGAGTATCGGTGCGCCGCTGGGGCGGGATTATGGGTCGCGGGGGAGTTTCGGTGTCTACCTAGATTTTGCGGGGGAGTTTCGGTGCGCCCGTTTTCCGGACTAAACTCATGAGTGTAAAAAAACATAGTAGTGTGGCAAAAGGATTTTATTTTAGAAAGTTAGGATGACATGAGATATGGTAGACATTGAGACTTTGTAAATAAACCATAATCAATCGATATAAATTACGGTAAGTGATCTGTCAATACCTTGAATGACAAGGTTATACTGACAATTTCCTTGAAGACGTCATGCTTAGGTTCATGCCTAATCAATACAGCGTAGGGTTGATTAATTTAAACATTTATATGGATTCGACTGTAAAAAACTATAATTTTTTATGGAATATGTAATGCAGATTCTAAAAACAATAAAAAAGAATTATATTATCTTGGGTAATAGTTGAAAAAATTTAGTTTTAATAGGCCGTCGCAACAAATTTTTGAATAAAATATAAAAAAAATACTCTTTTTAAGGAGGAGGCAAGGGACTTCAGTCCCTGAGCCTTTGTAAATAAACCATAATCAATCGATATAAATTACGGTCCAAAATATATGTAAAAATGTGAATGTCGTATTCTTATCACTATTTGCTTGCATAAATAATGCTTGATATCTTTGATACTGACTACCAAACACCATGTATATATTAAGCCTACATCAAAACATTCTGCTTGTCCCTGACATTATTGACGAGAAGGCAAAAGGTACTGTGAATTGTATTATATTCTTCTACTAAAATATTCATTTGGGTAACTAGCGCACAAAGTGGCCTTTTGTTGCATTCTAGTAAAGATGAATAGCACATTCATGAATAGCACTCTGGCATGAATAGCACAACAACATTTTCCTACACTTGCCAAACATAATAAGCCATATTGTGTTAGTGTTTTAGGTTATTTTTACGCACCAACAAACAGCTCTTTCTTATTCTATGCATTTCTCATCGTTGATATATTATTAATGTAGGTCCTTCTATTAGGTTTGAAGAAACATTATTTGTTATTTTCATGAACTTTTCTGGTTTTATTACCATAACCAATTTCACAACTATTATCATTTGAACTTATTTACATAAACTTCAAAAGTAATAAATGATTTACCCTTTAGGCCAATAAATACTTGCGTCTGGTTGAAGTTGCGCTCAAAACGCCCGGCAACAATTATAGTGAACAGATGAGTCACAGACAATATAATCTGAATATTCAGTCATTGTTGCGAAAGCGAAGTGGTGACTTTGGATAGTTGTTGCGGCGCTTGCATTTTTCTCTTTTGCCAATTATTTTGATTACGGAAAAGTGGAACACTGCATGAAATAAGCTATCCCCGTATTATAATCTGTGGGAAAATACCTCTTTGTCCACATGTGTTAAATTAGACATCTAAACAGAGTAACACTTACACTTGCACTTCCATTGCAACCACTATTAACATTTTTTTGGGAGCGAGCTGGTGTAGTGGTTAGAGCGCGGGACTTCAGTCCCTGAGGTCCCGGGTTCAAATTCCACTAAATCACCAATGGATTTTATCTAGTGATAATGCCGCAACCCCTAGGTCTAGCCTGAAGTAATGTGAAAAACAATCCCGGGCTTTAAACTATCACTCACTTTTTAGTACTTCGCGAGTAGTTAGAAATCAACCAAGATAGTACCTACCTACCCTACCTATTAGAAAATATAAGTGATTTTTTAGCACAACTGTTACTATGATATCTATGTATGGGAAAATCAATGACTCATTTTTGCCTGACAAGTTTCTTCGCATGAAGCGTCTCATTAAGGCTCATCAGCATCACGATCAATCGCCCACATCTTTTAATTGACGTGTTTAGGTTTTAACCTTAATCATATAGTTTTGGCACAAGGGGAACCTACGATCACATGTTATAACTCGCTATCACAACATGTACTCCATAAAACCCCATCCATGTCCATATGTACTCAATTGATTTATTTTTTATTTTTTTTATTTCCCTGTTTTTGTAGGCTACAGGTTAATTGACCAAGCAACCCGAAAAATGTTGTGTTTGTTTTCAATTCTGCCTGCAATTTTTTTTTTAATTGGCTATATAATATAAATGCACATTCTGTAAATATTTGTATAGTTGCGATTTACTGTCCTGCTGATGCAATTTAGAGCAAAATGATAAAGATAGGTGTTCCTCTTTTCCAGATACCCATCAGGCACAGTTAAGTACCCAGAAAAGGGAAGGGGGCTCAAGAATAAAAACCCCCAAACTGAACAGCATAAGTGTGTTTTCTAAATTTTTTTTCTAATAGAGTGCCTACAAAAACTGGATATCAGTTTGTTGGTAGATCCATTGATCGATCGTGGAAAGATAAGAAAGTGCCTTGCCTGATTCCAAGACTTAGTTGAACGTGGTTAAACAGACCAATGCAGATTTTGTGTAATAGATTTGGAATGATCAAACCCCCTGTGGCTGGATTTCCTAACCCCCGGTGGCTTGAATGTTCTAACCCCCTGTGGCTGGAATGTCCAGCTCTAGACCAGAGAAGGCTGGGAAGGTGATATTGAGGCCAGAGGAAATCAAATAAAAGGGTGACCTTCAGCTATTAGGATTTAATGAGATCCTAATTTTATGAAAATATTAGAGAGCTGCTACAAAAATCCACAAGGTTGAAGTAGCCAAGGGTAGCTATAGCCTCCCCCTCATTAAAATGTGAGTGTGTTTGTTCTGTTAGATGATTTCTTCTATTCAAATAATTGTCATTTATTTTCCAGAGGGCAATGAGGGTCGAGGAAGAGGAGTGTGGAGAGGAGGATGTAGAGCCTCAGTACAACTTGTTATCAGACAACCTGCGTCGCAGAGCCCCTGCGGTTCTGCAGTGTTCTATGTTCTGCGGAGGGCGACGCTGCAAGTATGAGACTCCAGAGAACTGGGACTCATCTCACATGGCTATCAGGGGCATTTACTCACATTGGTAAACCTCACTGATTGACCCTAAACATATGACGCACAATGTATAAAGAATTGGTAGCTCTATAAGACTGTTTGGGGGAATGAGTTTTTTTGAACATGGACAAGATAAGTAAAAAAAGAGTAAATTTGTCATCAGATTATATAAATATTTTATAACCGATCACTTTTTTTAAATTCTCAGTTAATTCCTGAGCAGACAGTCATTTTTTACTTTCTCCTCCCATAGATATTATAGTGTTATAGGGCAGAATCTGGTATCTGACCCTGTCCTCTGGTGAGAAATTACCCAAAACCAGCCAAAGGCGGAAAATAACATAAGATAAACCACACCAAGAACTGTTCAGTCAAACAAGGAACAACAACAACAAACATGAAAAACAACCAATAAACTCTCAAATAACTACTCAATAACTTACCATAACCATCACCCAAGTGCCAAGGTCCAAAAATGAACTTACTAATAACAGACATACGTACTTTAAATTTTAAACAGTTTAAAATTACAAGTAATTAGCAGCTGTTATGAGCATAGATAACAAAATTTATACCCTAACTGGCACCATTGGCTTCGTAAGCCAGGTTAACCCCCCTTCTCAGAAAAATCAGACTAATATTGTGCGTAAATAACTTATGTTAGACTTAAAAAATTACATGAAGCTTATAATATCTATAATTAATATTAACGATGGACCAGTAATATTGATTTAGAACCAAAATAATCACGAGTGTTTCATGAAACATTTGTAAGTCATGTGGGCTTTAATTATTCAAAGCCGTAATTTAAAAGCCACTATCCTCGATTGATCGTCATTCATTAAAGAGTCTGTTATGACAATCATCAGAATATATTGTTTAGATCGGAAAAGTATAATTTCCTTGCAACTTAATATCTCAGTTTCATATTGATTATATTATTTTTGTATTGATTATCTTAAGGTTACAAGATAACTGGTGTAATATTTAGAGTAATTTCAGTATTGTTTTTCTTAGTCATTTTGTGTGGTATAATCATTGTAACATTTTTTTGAGAGATAAATTTGAATAATCATTTTAATGTTAGGATAACTGATGATATACTAGCCATGGCTCGACCTTGTACTGAAATCATCATGAAGAAGAATGTCATCAGACAATTTCAAAGGTTAGTTTGTTAGTAAGTACTTCAATAGGGTCAAACTCGAGTAAACCAATATGTGTTAAACTTTAACGGGTAATCAAAAAAATTGTTTGGTTTTATGATATAACTAGCCGTTGCCCGTCGGCTTCGCCCGACATACTTTTCAGTTTTATTATGAACCGGCTGAATTTGTGACTTCACTATTGGCTAATATGACCTTTTATATTATTTTTCTGTATGCGAACAGTTATTAAGGATTGAATCCATTCTTATATAGCCTAATCAACGTTGGCTAGAATTAGACATATTGGACTACTGAAGACAAACTAAGGGAGAAATTCTTCATTTGAAAAATTAACTGCTTTTCTACCAAAAGCTTCAAACTACTCTCTCAGGAACAACAACGTAATGTGTTTTCCATGTTACAGCCGTTCTATCTCATTGCAGTAACAGTTATTAAGGATAAAATCCAAGTTTATATAGCTATATGTTACAAAGAAAAATGAATAGAAAAATTTGTTTTGACAGGAGCAACCATTGTTCCAACATCTGCTCCAGCTGTCATCTCTTTTTTTTTTATCAAAATCTGTTGGGAGTCGGGTTAGTAGGCCTACTCATGTTTGATTTAATTTCATTCTGTATACATTTTTTAACGAAAACTATCACTATTTTACTTTAGGTTGGCTAGTGGTAACAGCAAGAACTAAAAAAGGTTTATTATTGGAAATTGTTCAATGTTTTTATGAAGTTTACAGGTTTTATTCGGTATGGCTGATGTACCCGTGATTTGCAACAGGGAAAACAAAACAAAAATAATAGTGCTGCATTCTGTTGGTAAACCTTGTAACTTTTTAACGCTATTGAACATCATAGAACCCAACTTGTTGGTTTATTTGAATCATCTGTCAGTAATATTCTTTGGTTCTTTTTTAATATTCTTTCAAAATCACTGACATGGGTACCTTTAAGAGGGTCCCAGGGCTAGGCTCTGAACGTTATCACGAAATTGATGGTGTATAAACCTATTCCATGAAATTATACATGTATGTACCAAGTTTTGTGGCCATTGGTACAGCGGTGGCTGAGTTTATCACTGCCAAATATAAATACAAACAAACATCCTCTTTTATATTTATATATAATGTGCAACCCACATCTTTTTATCTGAAAAGACAAATCTGATAATTGCACTCGGATGCTTTGTATTCGCCATGCTCCAATTCTTTACAAACACATGTTAAAGATGAATTTACTCACGAATATGCTGTTATAAATATGCAACAAAACGTTAAAAATCTACTTGTCGGGTTGTCGAAAAGTAAATCACATTTTTGTATAACATAAACGCACACTGTGAAGGGAATAAGAAACTGGACAGAGACAAACTAAAGGTAGAGAACAAGAAAACATAACTAATGGGCTTACCATAAAACAAGATACAGTATATCCTTAAGGGAAAACAAAACCATTTAGTTTAAAATAACTCGTATACAGTACAACAATATAACTTTTTAAACATGAGCCGTTATTACCAAGGAAAGATAAATTATTAACAAGTGATATTATTTTTTGTTATTTAGAATACAAATTTATCTGAACATTTTGGTTATTTTTACTAACTTTTAGTTATTAAATTTCAATATTTAATATTCAATCCATACAAAGGTCTTCTACTTTTTAACTGTATTAAATGTGTAAATTTATGATTGATCACTAAGAAAGTACTCTGAGCCCATGTATATTGCTAACACTACACTAGTTTTAATAATTTACTGTGAAATCCTAACCATGTACTTTCTAGGCAACTTGTGTTTCACATTCACATGAAAATGTAACAATTGTTAATCAACATAAATGGGAAATTTCAACATTAAACTTATCATAACTTTTAATAAAACAGAATAATTGTAAAATTAAATGAATATTGAAGAAACTGAAAATGCAGTATTGGCCAGTTTAGGAGTAAAGTCTCTGATAAATCTTCAAGAGCCAGGAGAGCATAAGAACTGTGGGTGTCCACTTGAACCCAGCGGCTTTACCTACGAGCCCACAACCTTCATGGACTATGGCAGTAAGTTTGTTAACTATACTCATTACATTACTATCGAAGTCATTTTTATAATATCTTTTATTTGTTAGCCAGCCTGACCATGATCTTGAACCTAAACTCGATCCTAAAAAACACATTGTTAATGGGGATATGAAGGAAGAATAGACAGTAGTATACGTCTATTACTTTTCCCCTTTTTGAAAAAAATGCACGATGTGAAAATAAATTCACTTAGGAATGCTGTATTGAAATAATTTAATGCAACATTATCCTTTAAATTGTGTTTAAGGGATTGAAGCGGAAATTGTCCACTACAGTTAGTAAAAACAAGTTTTCACAACATTCCAGGATCTGCAATGGGGTAGCGGATTTTTATCCCCCTGGAATCTTACCCCCTGGGCAAAACTGACGTCACAAACCAGGGGGTAAAATTCCGGCCGCGAACTTTTGAGCTGCACAACATCTGTTCGATGGATTAAAGGGGGAGTTGAACGTATATTTTCACGGTTGTGAATTTAATCAGAACACATCAGATTATAAAGCCCTAGAATGTACGGCCCGGATATTTACCCCCGGAAATTTAGCTCTTGGCTAGATATAGAAATAAGTGAGAATGATTAATTTTATTCTTTCAGTTTTAATTTAATACTATATACACATCTTATTATTAAGTAGCTTATCTTAATTTATTTTTAACCTTAACCAATCAATCAGGGTTTGAATTTTAATTTTAATATTCGAGTTTCGGGATTCGTTTTTGGGGCCAACTGTTGGTTAATATATGTATACAAATATTTGGGTTTCCTTGCAGTAGTCAACACAAAAATTGGTCGACTGCTTTGTACCGGATGCCTACAACTACATTTTACAACAGGTATTTCGATGGCCTTTTTCACTACAAACCCTCATGATTTGTGCCTGAAGAAACAAAAAGGCATATATTGTGTTATTGTAGGACCACAACAGAAACTGAATACATTTTTTTCACCACGGCGGTATAATAAATTGTTAAAGAAATGTTCACCCAATTATCATTTAAATTTTATAAGTTACTCAGTTTATTATACATAATTAGGTACATATTAATCACAACAGTTGGCCCCAAACCCAAATTTCGAAACTAAACAGCGAAACCTGTTTACTTAGTTGAGAGTACAAATAAATTAAGATAGACTACTTAATAATAAAATGTTTACTATTAAATTAAAACTGAAAGAAGAAACTTATCATTCTCAATAATTTCTATATTTGGCCAGGGGTAAAATTCGGGGGGTAAAAATCCGGGGGTAAAATTCTGGGGGTAAAAATCTGGGCCGTACATCTACAGTTGTCTAAACGCTAGTTATATGGACAGGGGGTAAAATTCCGTTTTTTATTGCTAATCTAATTTATCACGCTCTGTTTGTTTTCATTAGACTTCCAAATACGCGCGGGTAAAATTACGCCCGCGAACAAACTTTGGAGCGCTCAGGTTACTACGTCATAGTGACGTCAGCTTTGCCCAGGGGGTAAAATTCCAGGGGGATAAAATTCAGGCGACCCTCTGCAGTCTGGTCCTGCCCTCAAAGTGAGGAAGAATCTAAAACATGACAAGTTTCTTACCAAGATCATGTAGACCTCCTCACACCTCACACCCTCACAGGACCTCACAGAACCTCACAGAAAACTATAAAGTAGTCAGAAAAACATGCAAAAACAAAAAACGATCAGATGGAAAATGTCAATGCAATAATCCCTCAAACAACATAAACCCGCCATCACAAAAAATGATTTTCAGGCACCTGTAATTACGATCGTACGTTGTGAGATATATCAGTCATTGAATGTGTCACAGAGTGTAGTTTTATTTAAATTGTTGAGGTCAGTAGTGCAGAGATTGACTGTAAGAGGTAGAGGGAAAAATACCAACCAGAACATATAGGGTCATATCAGACATAAATATAACATTAATTTACCGATTGTTCATATTCCTCTAAGAGTGGAGGTGGGAAAATGCCCCTCGATGGTTACATTTAACATACATTGTAGATTATTCTTTATTATTGATCATTGTGTGACTAATATTCTAATATTGCTTGTCCAGTCTACTATTACAACTACTCGTGGGCTGACTATGGTGATGTCAAGGTTACATGGCTCTTGGATATGGTAAAGACTATGAACCACACCCTAACTGAGGGCAAGGTCGCAATCCATTGTCACGCAGGTTTGTGCTATACCAGTCACTAAATATTCTGAGCCTGACCATTCTATCTGCAACTTTAAAAGATAATGTATTTTAAAAGGAAAACATATTTATGTTTAGTTTCTGTTATGATACATAAGGGTTGTCCGTTAATTAAGATCTCCGTTTAGCTCCTGTTGTTGCTTCCCATCGAGTTAGTTCAAACCTGAGACGTTGAATTCTTCACTTCATCCACTATTTTTATAGCCGATTCTCACCCACTGTGGAAAAATAGCTCTTGTCATAGTAGCCCAAAACTGTGAAGATGAAAATGTATTCTCCCGCCGAATATGAATCGCGTTCCCTAATTAGATTTTCTAGGGAATATGGTAAACCTCTATTAAAATCTGTTTACAGTTGACAGATGTGTATGCATAAAATGTGCATACGTGGCTTAGGGAGTTTGCGAACGGCTATATACACCTTGAAAATATTCTCTACGTTCAAACACGTTTCTCCATTCTCATCTGTCATTATACAACAGACTTAAACAGCAATTGACGCTTTAGGTCATATAGAAATCTAATCACTGAACATGATTCATACTTGGTGGGAACAGCGATTTTCCTTCACATCGAATTCTGGTATGATGATCCTAATCCTCCGATTAATATAGTAAGCCTAGTGGATAAAGTAAACAACACAGCACCATCCCAGATTTGAACTAGCTTGCATATCGGGAAGTTGGTCGAGACCTTATTTTACGGATGGCCCACTTAAGTTGTAATTCAAATATAATTGTAATTCAATTTGACAACTAAAACTTTTTTGCAGGGCTTGGTAGGACTGGAGTGCTGATTTCTTGTTATCTCGTCTATAGTATGAAGTTTCGTGCCAATGATGCAATTAAATTTGTTCGGTTAAAGAGGCCAAACTCCGTCCAGTCAAGAGGCCAGATATTTTGTGTTCAAGCATTTGAACGGTATTATAGGCATTTCAACGTAGTGTTTAGTAAAAAGTAAGCATGTTCATTTATTATTTATAGTTCCTGGGAAAAAGTTTTGGAGAAATATTTGTCTCTACCAAAGTTTTAAGTATGACTTACTTTATTATTGGCTTTGAATGATATGAGGCATTTAGTTTGTTACGATTAGCAGATAGATTGCATTAAATAGAGGTTAACTGTAAGAAAGGACCGTGAGGTCCTAAGTTCGCCTCAATAAAGAAGGATTTTCATTTCATTTCATTTTATTTCATTAATTCTTCTTAGGATTTGCCAACTTTTTTAATGTTACTGTTGGGTTTTTGTCAAAAAAATGTTGCTACCTACATTTACACAAAATCCCCCGGCGCAGCAAACCTGCCAACTAAGCAAATTTCCAAAAAAAACTTTTGCCTGAATCGTTTTTCAATCAAATCTATTTAAATAACATTAGGTTTAACGAGTACCTAGGTTTTCTGCTACAATGAAACTAATAAAGTGTGTTTTTATTAAAATATTAACAGCTTTTAGTATAAAATAAATAAATTTGCCAAGTTTGATCAAAATATATCCACAAACAAGCAAACTACCGGTACAACATTTTACTATATTCTCCGTAAGAATAACATGTGAATTTTAAATTTACAATTTTTTGAATTTTCTCCATTACCAATAACCGTCCGAAAACACTTTGATATACTAAATTTATTTGTTTTTAAGCTCTTTTAAAAGGTCTAGAAAGAAATTGGAAAATTTTGTATGTTGAGGGTCAAAAATGGGAAAACCCATTTTCACCCCATAAAACTCCCCGTAAACCCCGTTCCCAAGGTCCAATCATGCTGGTTCGCGAACTCATTCAAGTTTATCCAGCCCTACACCTTCAAGCCAAATTTCATCCGGACAAAAATAACTCAAGTTTTTGGCCTCTGGGGACATCAGAATGAAAAAGTAAATCGGTCCTCCTGGGCCTAGGTCTTACCGTGCCACCTACGGTAATAGCTACTTCCCTATAGGAAAATTCGCTAAAACTTGACATAGATGTTCAGTTTCCAAATATCATCATGTTTGCAATGGCTAATGTTGTTTGCAAAACTCTAAAAATGTCCTGTGTATACTTACAAAATGTAGCACAGTATTTTTGTATAGTTTTTTTTAAGATAAGCTGTTTTTTTTTATATAGCTGGCTCCTAATTTTACGGTAGAATTATGTTGGTTATTTATTGTTTTTAGTAGTGACTGTAAATACTGTTGTAGATCCTATACTATATTAATAAATTTACGGTACAGCTATACATTTTAGTGATTTCTAGTACTATCCACAAGCATATACCAGCTAGTATAGGCCTATAGCCTAATATACAACTACCATGCTTGTTTTTCCAAATACTATTAATTGTAGAACAGTATAAAACATAATAGACCTTATCAACAGTATTCTTAATAACTATGTGAGTAATATACATTGAAATGCTAACAATCAACTAATCACATTATAATATACATGATGAAACTACCTACTATTTGGCCTATTTAAGTAAGGAAAACATTAAGAGTTTCTTATCGCATAATGTTGATATGAACTAACTTTTAAAATGTGTCGATGTTAAAAAATGTGTTAAACTCAAAATAAAAAAAACTACTTCCAATTAGTATTGTATTTATAATTCCCATTGCTATATACGTATTGACATTTATAGATAATGTTGTTGATTTTAACGTATTTACGATTGCAGGTTACTTTTAAAGCAACCCAGAGTGCCAGAAATAACGCTTCCTACCTACATATTAACTCAAAAGATAATGTTACATGGGTATGAAGCAAGATGTATACAGCATATACCTAAGGTTAGTATAATTGTTTATGATGTATTGTGCAATTTTAATAAAGGCTTATGAACAGTATATTATATTACGAGCCTATTTTTAAAACAATATCTTAGTTTTTATCAAAAGAACCAAGTTTTTGAGGTATTGGTATTAAATGAAGTAATTGCATTGACATGGTTTGCTAGTGCTAGTGCCTAATACCGGTTAGTTCTTTTAAGCAGTTGTAAAAGTCTAAATTCATATTTTACTATCTTCTGTAATACCATGGGGATATGTAAAATGTCATTAAATAGTATATGAGAAAAACATCTGAAGCCACTATGGCATTGGAAATGTTAATGCATATTTTACTGTAAGCAACATTAGTATAAATGTGCTTTTATAAAAAAATCCTTTTAATCAATTTACCAAACCAAGCAAATCTCAGTAGATTACTCATGTTTTCTTCTAAGCAAAAAGCAATACCTTAACAAGAAAACTTAGGAGAGGCTTTAGCAACCCCTGTGCATCAGAGTCTGATGTTGGTTTCTGGCATCTCGGTATGCAGTAAAATGTAGATAGTTAAATATTAATAGATTGTTTGCAAGTACAAAATAAAATGGTACTATTTGAATCAGTTAAAACTAATCAATGATGTGTGTTTCAAGATCATTTACGTGATATGCGAGAGGCTGCTGGAGCTATGTGACTGTGCTCCGGTAGCCACTATTCCTGATGATCATCACGCACCCACAACTTTGTATTTCTTCACCGCCAGGCAAAACCCTTCCCATTATCACTACATCAGTAGTTTGCTCAATTTACATCCAAACAATAGTGACGAGGGTTAGTAAATATATATTTTTTTCTTAGAATACTTTTAATTTTAGCAGTTCCAAATAAAACTCTTTATGATATTATGAAGAAACATTTTAGGTAAATCTAATACTCCCATATGACCTTGTGATGCTCAACCAATGGACACCCAACCAGAACAATCTTAACTTTCTCTAGACTCAACATCCTATCTTGAAGCTGTAGCTCGTTTTCTTAGAAGCAATTGTCTTCCTACTATCAGGTACCCTTCTGAAGGGAATTGCATTGGAGTTTCCTCGTGAGTGTGATAATAAGCAGTGGCGGGGATAAGATATAGTGGCCTCCCCACTTTTAGAGGAATATATTGGTAAGTTAATGTGATTTTAGTCCCACGCCCTCAGGGTAGTCCCCTTCCCTTCTCAACGGTAAACTTTGGAATTCGTTGAAACAACAATAGAAAAATTTACAAACAATTATGGTTCAAATGCTAAATTAGTTATTGCACTAACCTCTAACATGGATAACTGTCTTATTCTTCACAGCAAGATGATTTCGTAGATTTTTTCTATTGTTAAATAGCCTAGTGAAAAAAATATTAAACTTCATTGTTACAATAATAAAATGCTTATTAAAGAATTGAACTGTAAAGATGTTGCTAATGGTAGGCTGATATAAAACGAGTTTGGGAAAACTTTACAGTATTACAATTTTACAAACTCTTTGGAGGGCTGGAAATCTTTTAATCGCGTAGAGTTTCAATACCAAATTTAATGTTATGGTCACTTAATTAAGTCTTAAGAGTGTTAGAGCATTATAAACTCAATGAATATCATTGTTAACTAGGGCTTCAATATGAATAATTATTCTCCTTCAGTCTAACATTTACCTACGATAATAATCATAGGTTGTTGCCTGGAAAACGTTTAAGATCCCAATCGTAACTTTTTAATGTTATGCTGAAGTATATGTTTTCACATGATAAATTCAGGCGGGGAAAGTACGTTATTATAGCCTATACTATTTTAATTTCAGAGGCTGAAAGTGAAAATCAAAATGAAAAGGCTGAGAGTGATATAAACATTGACAATGAAATTGAGAATGAAGTGGTAAGCAACACACTTACATTGTTGGTAAACAATTAGTTTCAGTCCCAGGAGTATATTATTTTATGATGTAAACTTTTTAGCCATTTTAAATTAAAGTGGAGTCCCCTTGTTGATTCCTCTAATGTTTAGCTTGACCTTACAAATGTAACACTGCGCAATTTTGCTTTCTTTCTGAGTAAAAAAATGTTACCACACGGAAATAGCATAAGCCGTATTTCATATTTACAGTGTATACATTTTGATAAGTCATTCTATAATTAATAAATACATACAAAAAATACGAGCAACCTCACTCGCATATTAACGTCACGCTGCACTCAGCACTAAACTCGCTGTGGTAGCGGATTTTTATCCCCCTGGAATTTTACCCCCTGGGTAAACGTGACGTCACAAACCAGGGGGTAAAATTCCGGCCGCGAACTTTTGAGTTTCGGGTCATCAGCTCGATGGATTAAACGCTGAATTAAACATATATTTTCACGGTTGTGAATTTAATCAGAACACATCAAGTTATAAAAACCTAGAGCGTACGGCCCGGATTTTTACCCCCGGAATTTTACCCCCGGATTTTTACACCCCGGAATTTTACCCCCCGGATTTTACCCCCGGATTTTTACCCCCGGAATTTTACCCCCTGGCCAGATATATAAATTAGTGAGAATGATTAATTATCTTCATTCTGTTTTAATTTTATAGTAAACATTTTATTATTAAGTAGTCTACTGTATATTAATTTATTTGTAACATAAACTAATCGAACAAGTTTTAATTTTAATTTTGAGATTCCAGTATTAGGATTCGATTTTTGAAGCCAACAGTTGGTTGATATGACGTATAAACAATCAACTTAATGATAATTGTTTCGACCATTTCTTTACAAAATAAATAAATAAAGATAGGCTACTTAATAATGAAATGTTTACAATTAATTAAAACCAGGAATAAGAAAATCAATCATTACATTTCTAAAATCGGACAGGCGGTAAAATTCCGGGGGGTAAAAATCCGGGGGTAAAAATCTGGGTGTAAAAATCCGGCCCATACATCTTTAGTTGTCTAAACGCTAGTTATATGGACAGAGGGTAAAATTTCGGTTTTTATCGCTAATCTAATTAATCACGCTCTGGCTATTTTCATTAGACTTCCAAATCCGCGGGGGTAAAATTCCGGCCGCGAACAAACTTTTGGCCACTCAGGTTCCTACGTCATAGTGACGTCAGCTTTGCCCAGGGGGTAAAATTCCAGGGGGATAAAATTCCGGCGACCCCTCTCGCTTAGTTGCACTCCTGAATACTTAAGACTATTGGGGAAACTAATGTTCTAACATGGAAACTAAAGAAATTCTAAATAAGTATGAAAAGATAACATGGGAAGTAACGGCAGTTGTAGCAGTAAAGAATGTTGACTGCAATAAAACAATCCAAGATACAAATAACAAATTGTCTGCATTGTAATTCGATGGCTCATACTGACACTTATTTTAGGGTTGTAAAGTAAAATATTTAATGATCAGACTAGTTTAAAACCAATAATTACAAAGATAAAATTATAGACCCTAAAAATCAGCAATCTTGATAATACGTTTTGTGTGTTTATGAGTGAAAATTTAAAAACGTACGTTTTCAGGAAAAGCACTTTGCAAATTTTTCCCCCTTTTTTAAAACTTTTATTATTTTTTTTATTTCATTAACATTTGAAGTTTCATAAAATGTCCATGGTAACGCAATATCTTTGGTAATTTTCTTTTTAAAGAGCATCTTTCGTAGAAAAACACAAAATCCTGTCACAACCATAACGGACGTTTAAATGAATATTAAAAATAGTTAATATTATTTTTATAACTATGTTTTGCTATAAACTAATTTACTTTTATGACCATTATACAATAAAAAGGTCATTGAGCTTTTGGTATATTTGGTCTTTCTTGGAAAAAATAAAAAAAACTCAAAAAATAGAAAAAAACCAATAAAATCTTTTTAAGTTTGTATAACTCCGAAAAAACTTACCTGAGACCCGAAAAATCGTTATGTTTGTATAGAGGTGTGCTTCTTTTGTGTATAAAACATTGAAATATGACGATATTTTAATTTTTGAAATTTTTATGATAGAAATCATAAACGTGATGGTCAGGGACAAGCGGTACGGTCGTGAATTCTCTGGAATAATCAAAATCTTTCTAAACAATCCTTCAATTAGACTGTTAGTTATAATAAAACTATGTGTTTCAATTGAACTAAACTGTTCAATTTACAATTATATTAAAGTTATTGTCACGTCCAAACACACTATAATCCATAAGGCTGGATTGGTCGTGAAAAAAACCGCGATGGTCGTGAAACTTTGGTCGTGAAATTACGTGTTATTTGGCTCTGTTCTGGCGGTAGCCCTGCACCTCATGTTCGAGGATACAAAGTGGACTTCTAGGTTAATCTAGCAATTGAAATGTCTTATAAACAAAAATTAACACCATGTCTACTTCATTGAATGACTACGTACGGTCATGGACACACCAAAATTACAAAAAACACAATCTTTCCTTTATTAATCTTGTAATTCCTCCTTTCAACTCAAAACGACCGGCACTACAATCCTGACGTACACCCCGAACTAGTCTCTAAAACCAACTGACTCCATCGACGCCAAGCTTGCCACTGTCGTGCTCCAAAGTTGAAAATTTTTCCCAAATGGTCGTGACGCCAAATCGAGGGACAGACTTATTTTGTCATGGTAGTCAGTCTGCAATGACAATAAAATTATAATATGCTCCTTTTTTGTAAGTTTAATAACCATTGATGACATAAAAATATGGCTTTATATATTTCGGCATGAATAATTAGTCTAAAAACAGCGTGAAGTTTGGAAAATGTACCCTAGGGACACGTCATGGTCGTGAATTTCGAGACTTTAAAAATACGAAAAAAATACCTAGAACCTATTTAAAACCAAATAAATGTGTGTAACATGTTGCCCCCGTCCCAAAAAATATTAAAACACATAATAATAAACTAGAAATCCAGTATCTACGAAGTAAAAGGCCAGGGACATGAAAACGTACGTTTTTAAATTTTCACTCTTATAGTAAATGGTTTAGGCTTTGGATATTATTAAGAAAAAGAATAATTAAATTACCGATAGCCACGTTATGTTTGCTATTACAATTGTGTTCTTTGCGTTTCGTTTCAAGTATAATTCAAAATATGTAAAATGTATAGCACTTGATATAAAATGTACTGAAAAAAATTAAATTATGTCTAACAACAATTGAAAAATATATTTACACTACATTCGCCTATTAAATGTTTTTGGATTACCACTTACCATATTTTTTTTGTATTTACCATCCTTTAAATAGATAGTACAATTGTAGATTTATGTTTCAAGTGTTATTAGACGTATTTGTATTTCATTTCCATTAGTAAAACTCCTTAAATCAACAATAAATAGGGTTTTAATGCCGTTAATCCTAGACGATAATTCAGATATCGAAAACCGACCGAGATCCCGGGATTGAGACCCCCTATAAAAATACAAACATGAGTCTTTTACAATACTGCATGATATGTGTAGTAGTACTCTTATCATTGCAGATTAAGTTAAAATGTTGACTGAACTTCACAATCAATATCAATACAAGTTGTTTATTATGATTTCAATTTATGTTGCGATTATGTCATAAAATATTTGAGTAAAGTCAGTCATTAAATGAAAGTATATTTGAAATAGCTAATATAAATTGAATTCAAAATTATACAATCTTACTGAGTAGAGTGAAATGTTTTCAGCATTTCTTCTCTCCCCAAGATGTTGTTGAAGCAATACTGGTCGATCAAGAAGACATGAGAGACAGTCAACGAAGAAATATCGCACAGTATGAGATGATTTTAAACTACAACGAGTCTTGCTGGCAAAAACTACAGAACGAACGATCCTTAGTTGTTCTCACAGGATTACTAACAGACTGGCTGGAACAACTCAAAACTCCTATCATTGACTGTGAACTGCTTTGCCAGATCATCATACATGCTGAGACACCCTTAAAGTGTCTACAAAAGTTTGATTATGTGAGTCAGTGTCTTTGATTTGTATAATGATCACAGTTTTAACACTTACCAGTACTTATAACGATTTACCAGGGTTTGGATAAATTTAGTTTATCAAAAGCTATAGTACAAACATTGTATATCTGTTTATGCAACATCATATTTCTGCAACAACAATGCATTACCAGTGGGGTAGTTATATTATCATATTTTTGGTGTCTTTTTTTCTTTCAATTTAGCTCTTTTTTTTTAGCTTTCTTTTCGGCTGAAATCATATTTTAAATATAAATTTCATTGTTTCTTATACTTTTGATAGTTAGCTTTTATATTGGCAATGCAACTCAAAACTACAGAAAATATTAAACCTGAGAACGAGCTTTGAGAATAACAGTTTCAAACAACTAAACAACAAATTTAAGCCAACAAAGTCAAGAAAATCAGTTAAACACCAACTGAACTCTTTTGAAATTGTGTAAAAGAAAACTCTGTGGGGAGATAATAACTTCCAGATAATTAATTTTTCCCAGGGAACAATAATCTATCTCATTGGTAGGGATCTGAAGCTTCTTGTAAATCTTTGAAGGTAAAATATGAATGGCAAGGAACTATAACAAGGTCACTCAATTTACCTGAATACAGAAACAAAACAAAGCATTGGAGTTTCATATTTGATCTAAACAAAGTATTATTTTCTAGGTTTCTCAATTTACAATAGAATATCTGTTCAGGTTCACAGCACATTTAGAAGGTCTCAATGATGAAGAAGTAACTTGTTTAATTCAAAGACTAATAGTTGCTCTGACTCAACAAAGCGTTGTTATAAGAGATACTCTTACACCCAAAGGTAACAAATTTATCTATTATATTTCAGAAATATTATCTAATCTCATGATATTCATAATAAATAACAACTGATTTATACAGGGGTGGTGAAACAAGGGACAGCGTAATATATTTTAAACCGTTACAGATGGAGCTATACAAATAGGGGTTGGTACACTGTTACTGGGCATAAAACACTATTTTACCACAACTTCAAAGAGCCACTGCCACTTCAGGAGTCGGGAAAAAAACTTCAATAGAAGAATAGATCGATATGCACATCAAATAAAAGATATTAATTAGTAGAATACAATGCCAAAAATTTTAGCTCAATAGAACAACTGGGTGAAAAATGGCAGCCATTCATAGATTCAAAAAGGCAGATTCAAGATATCTTTGAACGGCTGCCATTTTTGACTTGGTTGTTCGTTTGAGTTAAAATTTGCGGCATTGTATTCTACTAATAGTTTAGTTAGAACTATTTGATGTGCATATCAACCTATGCTTCTATTTAAGATTTTCTTCCGACTCCTTGTGGGCCGCCCCTGAAGTGGCAGTGGCTCTTTGAAGTTGTAGTAAAATAGTGTTTTGTGCCCAGTATTAGTTTACCAACTTGTATAGCTCCATCTGTAACGGTTAAAAAATATCAAGCCATCCCGAGACTTTTCACCACCACTGTATATGATTTAACATTAATCCTCACTCTCAGTTATTAACTGTTGGTTATGAGGTAAAAAAAAAACACCCAATAAGCCAAAAGGTTTAAAATCCTGTGTTAATACCTATTGATCCATTGTTACTTTATTGGGGGGGAGCGAGCTGGCGAAGTGGTTAGGCGTGGGACTTCCGTCCCTAAGGTCCTGGGTTCGATCCCCGCCAAGTCACCAATGGATTTTATCTAAGTGATAATGCCGCAACCCCTAGGTCTAGCCTGAAGTAATGTGAAAAACAATCTCAGACTCGTGCCTAGCGTCCTAGGGGGAAAAAATTGTCACTTTATTAACCTACAGATGTTAACCTGTAAAAATTTGAGCACATCAGAGGTAACTGAAGCAGTGGCAGTCCCAGGATTTCATTTCGGAAGGGATGACCACTGGGGGTGTGGAATTTCCCTAGAAAAAGGGCCTTTATTTCCAGTTCAGAGGTAGGCCTACTGTAAATTCATTCTGAGTTTTTTACTAAATTTACCATAAAGGATTAATATTAATAGGCCAGTAAAAATAGGGGTTTGCCCGGAAATAATTCCTGGAAAGCTGGAAATCTTTTTAATCCTTTTGTTTTATATAGAAGTAAAAGGATTTGAAGTTTGTCCCATTTTACCAGGTGAGCTTCTGACTTGGGACCACAAAAACCTTGAAATTTAGGATTAGTTTTTTGGTTTTTGCTAAAACGTCAAAAAACCGTCCAGCCTACAGAAAAACACATCGTAAAGGAATTGTAGAGCATAAAATTCTGCATCCATTGAATATCTGGTGATGAAAATGGAACCAATAATAATTGATTTATAGTAATATTTATAACTGCTGTAATATTTGTTAATAGTTATTTAACTGCTTGTTCTTTCGCCACTAGATTTAAAGAACACCCACCCAAAAAGAACTCAAAATCAGCATTCGCCAACCACATAATTAACGCAAACCAGAACTACACAGACATACATAGTAATTTAGAAATCATGCATTTGTGTAATAGAGTGAAAATTTAAAAACGTACGTTTTCAGGAAAAGCACTTTGCAAATTTTTTTCCCCTTTTTTCAAAACTTTTATTATTATTTTTATTTCATTAACATTTTAAGTTTCATAAAATGTCCATGGTAACGCAATATCTTTGGTAGTTTTCTTTTTAAAGAGCATCTTTAGTAGAAAAACACAAAATCCTGTCACAACCATAACGGACGTTTAAATTAATATTAAAAATAGTTAATATTATTTTTATAACTATGTTTTGCTATAAACTAATTTACTTTTATGACCATTATACAATAAAAAGGTCACTGAGCTTTTGGTATATTTGGTCTTTCTAGAAAAAAATTTAAAAAACTCATAAAATAGAAAAAAGCCAATAAAATCTTTTAAAGTTTGTATAACTCCGAAAAAACTTACCTGAGACCCGAAAAATCGTTATGTTTGTATAGAGGTGTGCTTCTTTTGTGTATAAAACATTGAAATATGACGATATTTTAATTTTTGAAATTTTTATGATAGACATCATAAACGTGATGGTCAGGGACAAGCGGTACGGTCGTGAATTCTCTGGAATAATCAAAATCTTTCTAAACAATCCTTCAATTAGACTGTTAGTTATAATAAAACTATGTGTTTCAATTGAACTAAACTGTTCAATTTACAATTATATTAAAGTTATTGTCACGACCAAACTCACTATAATCCATAAGGCTGGATTGGTCGTGAAAAAAACCGCGATGGTCGTGAAACTTTGGTCGTGAAATTACGTGTTATTTGGCTCTGTTCTGGCGGTAGCCCTGCACCTCATGTTCGAGGATACAAAGTGGACTTCTAGGTTGATCTAGCAATTGAAATATCTTATAAACAAAAATTAACACCATGTCTACTTCATCGAATGACTACGTACGGTCATGGACACACCAAAATTACAAAAAACACAATCTTTCCTTTATTAATCTTGTAATTCCTCCTTTCAACTCAAAATGACCGGCACTACAATCCTGACGTACACCCCGAACTAGTCTCTAAAACCAACTGACTCCATCGACGCCAGGCTTGCCACTGTCGTGCTCCAAAGTTGAAAATTTTTCCCAAATGGTCGTGACGCCAAATCGAGGGACAGACTTATTTTGTCATGGTAGTCAGTCTGCAATGACAATAAAATTATAATATACTCCTTTTTTGTAAGTTTAATAACCATTGATAACATAAAAATATGACTTTATATATTTCGGCATGAATAATTAGTCTAAAAACAGCGTGAAAGTTGGAAAATGTACCCTAGGGACACGTCATGGTCGTGAATTTCGAGACTTTAAAAATACGAAAAAAATACCTAGAACCTATTTAAAACTAAATAAATGTGTGTAACATGTTGCCCCCGTCCCAAAAAATATTAAAACACATAATAATAAACTACAAATCCAGTATCTACGAAGTAAAAGGCCAGGGACATGAAAACGTACGTTTTTAAATTTTCACTCAATATAGGCAGATACATGGACACAATAGAGGAATTAAAAAATTTACAAGGCATCTAAAGAACAGCCCGACCATATATAGAACGAACAAATTCATGATGCAAAATCTACGAGCGCCTGTCTCGTGTGTTCATCACTTGGCCGAGTTTGTAAATTTGTGTCATTTAAATGTAGTTTTTTTGTGTATTTTGTGTCTGATAACACATATTTATCTCCACAAATTCATCTACAAATGAATGCGTTTTTTATCTAACGTTCTTCTGACAACCTAAAGATGTGCCCTAGGTGCATGAAACAGCTGTAGTTGTACTAACTACACACAGATAGTTTGACGCAAAAAGGTAACATAAACCATTTTTATATTGCAAGTTACGATTCGGAGGCTTACTCACCATGAAACTTTACTTTATTTTTGTGAAACTCAGTAAAAGAATATTTAACAAGTTCAAAACAAAATTATCTGTCAACATGCAATTTTTTTTACGGACAAATTCATAAAATCAATGCCTTTAACAGCAAAATAAACAGTAATGTATTGGTATTTTTATAAAACATCGGCCATTTTCTATTTCTGTGGATTTAACTGATCATTTGAGATTCTAAAAAGTGCAGCAATGCTTGTATTTATTTCATGTTTTTATTTCAGAAAAAGAATTTAACAAACTTAGAAAAGGAACCTATAAAAAAGTTATGGAGTTTTCAATGAACCTACTAGCACAAGTCAAGAGGCACGTAGAATGGAGGAAACAAAATAAAAGAATTTAATGAAATTTTTATAAAACCCAGTATTTAAAATAAAAAATATCCAACAAATCTTGATTTGTTGTAATTTTTCTAGATTTCCTACATGAGGTTTTTTTTATCTGTTACCAGTGCTCCCTATTAGTAGACTATCAATTCTGCCAATTGAAAGTAAGTAGTAAGATATCAAATATTCGTTATTAAAAAAAAAAAAAACTGAATAAGATTTAATTTAGGTTACTCTATATGAAAATTAAATTTCAATTAAATGAGGTAATCTGAATAAAAAGAACTATTAATGGGTAACTTTAACATTTATTCAGAAAGCAAGGTTTCAGAATAAAAAATCCAATGGTTTACACATATTTGAAAAGCAAATGACATTTTATGCACACTCAACAATAGTTCTTACACTAAATAGTAGCTGAGTTATAAAATTAACCACATTTTTACTATACAGATTGATATGTCAGATAACCATGGGCTTGGACATTTATACAAAAATTCAACCGGGTGAAATAACATAACGAAAATTGGTGCAGTATATTAAGAACTCTGAAACCATTTGCGTTCTACTATGTCCAAGCCAGTATCATTTCTTTGGATAGAAAGCTGTAGTTTCCAGTTTATGATAAATTACTTTGGTCATATCCACATTTGACAAATTGTTGACACAAATTCTTATCCAAATACCATAATATGTGTGCCTACATGGCTATCATTTTGAATGTATTATTGTAAGGATAAAAGCATTGTTTAATTTTCCAAGTTTTTCCTTTTAACACTTAACACTAAAAAAGTATTTGTTTTACATAAAGCAGTATTACCAAAAATCAAATAGAGAGTGTTAATACAGTAAAGCATAGTAATCCTAACCCCTCTAATACAGACTTTGTGTAATCCAAATCCACACAGCCATTTGACAGCATTTTACATAAATTTCATAAAGTTAAGTTAGGCATGCACAGTTTTTTTGCGCAGCATGCTGTTTAGTGGACAAGGAGTGGGTTTATATTGTTAAGGTGACAAATGTTGTGTATTTTTATACATTGTTCAATCTTTTTTAGGTTAAGGTGTGTAATTATTTTAGAAGGATATCCAAACAGTCCTGGTATTGAGATTATTTCATAAAACTGGACAACTTGGAACCCAACATTTGTCTGAATTGATGAGGTTTTACTGTTCACACATATGTTATCATCTCAGGCCAATAAGTTGATTGGACAGGTTATGCTAATATACAAAAGTATAAAACACATATAGCATGAAGACTCCTTGCGATTTGTTAGGCAGTTCAACGTAACTTATATTAGCATTGACTTGACTTGACATCTGAAGTAGTTTGCTGAAATATACATCCCATCTATATGAATCAGTTGTTTCTAATAACACAAGAATGTCAACAATAACAATATTTACATGAAACCTTTAAAATAAGCAGTGAGGATGGTTAACCTTTACTACTTATAGATATTTCTGGATTAAAAACAACTATTTACATGAGATCTAACTTTTTATGAGTAAAAATATGTTTGTGAAAGAAAACTAAAGTAAAAGTTGCCAAGTAAGTTGTGCAAAATATTTTAAGACACAATGTAAAACTTGAACACTATAAAGCTTATTACCTACACAAACATTAAGCTTGGCTCAATGAACACACTTGCAATCTAACAAACAAATAAACTTATTGCATAAAAAAAACTTTTATTGTTTATGAACTTTTTAACTCATAATAAGGATTTCCAGGATCTTCAACCAAATAAATGACAATCTTTCAAACATTTTGGAGCCACTTCACATTGAGGTGTTTTAAATGATAATTTAAAATGACGTTTCTCAGGACATCCTACAATCAATTCACTGGACATCCTACAATTTAGATAGAATAGAACCTCTATATCCAAGACAAGACCTTTTCTAGCAACAATACTTTGCTTAGAATATTTTAATTTAGAGTAAGTATTTTATATAATATATTTGAACTCTTGGTGTATTTAAAAAAAAAATTTTTAAATGTTATCCACACGCTGAATAAAAAAGTCAGATACAAGTAGCATGATGTTTATAACAGTAACCATAAGAACAATGAAAAAAAAAACATAATAATCTCTAAGCATAAAAACAGTACAGTATTGTTAACATGTATTAGTAAGATAACGTGAATAACTTTCCCCAGTTAGTAACAGGAGGGTTTTCTATGCAGAAAGAGGTTTTGTCTCATAGCATTATTTATTTTTGTTACAACCCTAATAGGTAAAACAAACCAAGATAGGGTTGTGCTACAAAAGTGTCCTTAAAGTTTGGTTTGAATAAATGATTAAAGCCTTTCCAGAACGGAAGGAGTGTACGCCTCAAACTTACCGAGTATTTAAGTCGGCTATTACAGGAAAAAGTGTGTGTTTTTGGTGTAGTTAAAAAATACCATGAAATAAAAAACAAAGTTGAAATGATAAAACTGAGTGGTCAGAAATAAAATTAATACTTACATAGTCCAACACAAAGAACTTGAAAAAACTAAACTATAACTGTGAAAACAATCAAATACCTACTGTGTTAATAGGTAAGGTTTTCAACACTGTTAAGAGTGTTAACACAAACAATGGTTTAACACCCACTGATGGGTGAAAATATTATGACTGAACAGAACAAGTAATTTTGGAAACCATACATGATTTCGGGCTTAAAGTACAATCTTTGAGTTTTAACTGCAATCCACAGACATGTACGGCTGAAGTATTGTTGGCTTCATAACAGCATCAGCTGAAACAATGAAAAATTACTCCTCCTGTGACAAATAAATTAAGAAGTTTATGTTTGGCTTCTTTATAAAAATATGATACCCTATTTGGAGAGCTCAAACTGTATGAAAGACAGTTTGAGAAAGACAGTTCATGAAAATAACTCAAATATTTAAAAAAAATGATTAAAAGGGTATACCGTTTATAATGGTTCTAATAGGATAATATCAATGACTTTATACCTGGGATTAACAAAGTACCTAATAGGTTTTACCAGTGCTAGATTTATATAAATTGAGGTGCCGGAACTGTAACCTATTTAATGTTATCTGTACCTATTTATGCCAATATTTTTTTCTTTCTGAAAGAGAGGTGCCAGAACTCCGTTCCGCCGTTCCCCCGCAAATCGAGCTCTGGGTTTTACCATTGACTATACACACAATAAAATCAGGGGCGGACTGGCCCGCCGGCCCACCGGCCGGTGGGCCGATACGCCTTCTCAAAATTCCAATATTTGCGCCCTCGTTAAAGGAAAAATTCATGATTTAAAAAAAATGAGACGAGACGTATTTTTAGAAAGCAAGAGTAAAAACTTCGAGTAAAAGTTTCAGCAGTGAATAGGAAAACATAAAGTCGGATGTGAGACCTGAATAGACACTGTCGACAAGCGAGAGCAAAGCAGCTCTTCTCTCTCGTACGTGTAGGCCTACTCCGAGTGGAAGGCACTTTAATCTGTGCTGTGGTCTGAGCTACTTAAAAACAGCTGTCCTCTTCCCGCGTCATTTTACGCCAAACCCGAAAAAACTGCACTGCGACTGCATCCGACATCGGTCTCGGTCGGTGTCACGATGTATTGTCGTCTGTGGTAAACAACTAGTGAAGATAATTTCATATTATTTCATATTTGTTATAATATTTAATTATTGCTCACACTAACTATTTCACTTTAAGCACAGAAAACATACTACTAGTATGTTTTCTGTGCTTTAAGTCACATTTAATTTTTATCAATGTCAACTCAACTCTCTTGTAAAATGGCGTTTGCCGTGCATGTAATAAATAAATAAAGAGTGTGAGCTGCCAATTAAAATGTGTCCCTCTTTAGTGAGTGTCTAATTTGTGTCTCTGTGTCGAAAGCTTCAATTTATTTTTATATTCTTTACCTACACAGGAAACATGAACGAATGTAGTATTGTAGAATCACTACTTTTACAAAATTAAAATTAGATTTAGTGACAGTGTATTTGTTAACGTAACCATTACACAGTAAAGGTTAAACAGTAAACAGTATTTTAATATGTGGCTACCGCCTATTAATTAATGATTTCAATATGCACTATGGCACTAATTTGGTCAACTTTCCTATTTTACTTACACATAGCCAGCCCAAAATACCTTCGTAGTTCTCTCTAGTCTATGGCTTCCATTTCGTTTGTAGAAATAGCTTAGGTAGGCCTACTTTAGGGTTACAGTTTTGACTTAATGTAATGCTAAAACAGTTTAAGTCAATAAATTGGTTTTTTCACAGTGAAACCAATGTTTGTGTTAAAATAATTTCATAGAAATCTGAAATATATAACTTCTGTTATTTACAGTGCCAAAAAATACAGCAGTTGCAGGTTCAGGTTGTAAACAGGAAGCACATGATTTATATTGTATGCATTCAGCCAAGTCATGCAAGGGAAAATAGTGAAAATACACAAATATAATACGAAAGAACCTAAGAAAATCGTTTGTATTTTTATTTTTGTTAGTATATTTACTGTCAGAATAGCGCCAAGTCGTGTGGGTAAATAGTCTAAATTTGTTAAACCAAACATTGACCTATAGTGTCAGTGATCAGATTTCTGATTTCCACTGTTAATGCCTCTAGATTGCCTAAAAATGCGAGTTTACAGGTATAATTTTTAAAAAAATCTCCGTGGACCCCCCTCTGTGCAGGGGGGTATTCCATACCCCCCAGACCCCCCGGTGGGCGCCTTCGGGCTGGTCAAGGTTTACGCCCTAATAGAGTACCCAGTCCGCCCCTGAATAAAATTCCCATGTAATGTAAAAATTTGAGGCCAAAAAACGTGGTGTAGTCTGTTGTGATGGCTGCGTCCCGAAAGCCACGAATGTTTATGGCTATAAGCTGGGGAACGAAAGCCACGACAATTAGTGAAGGGTCGAAAAGGTTTTAATCCTGGGGACGTAAGCCACGACTGCGAGCCAGGTAGACTGCTGTCAGGGTGGCAGATCACAGGGAGAACGGGAAATTTAAGCTCCCTGTTTTATGTATGCGTCTCAATCAAGCAAATTCGTCAGTTGAATCTGAATCCGCCGTGCTATAAAGGTTAGAAATAGACCTTTAAGCTCTACTACGGTTATCGTTAGTGTACTGTAGTTGTTGGGTCATACAAATGCAATAATTAATTTCAAGCAAATAATAACTAGGGATAAGCTATTGCCGTAGATAGCACGGTAAACCCTAAACAGTTTTACTTTTTCGATTTTATGTCCCCAGAGTCCAAATACTGTATGTATTAAATCTATCTATAAAATTATTCAACAAAATTAGTTATCAATGTGTGACGGACGATTACTGAAGTTCAGCTAAGGGAGAATTAACCACCAGGAACTTCGGACTGCTTACTCTGATAATATCTTAAAATCATGTTTGTTGCTTGAATACTATTCCTGATGTATAACTTAGGTTTACACGTTTAAACATAATTTTTAAATAGTACCGGTAGGCTACAGTCAGTTCCACCATAACTTTATTGAAAAGCTATATACAAATTTAAGTTACATTAACACCGAGCATGATGTTTTATTGTGGTACTTATAACCCTCAGAGGCCCTAAACAGCTGCAGGCTCTCCTCAAATTTCCAGTAAAAGGTGTTATTAAAACTTGATGTCATGCATATACATTATCTCTACAAAACATAAAAAATGCTGTAATTCACTTCAATATACTTAACATAATACGCAAAAAAACATGACCTCCTATTAAAAAGCAACTTATTCAACAGCAATTCCATGAATTTGCATTTTTATTAGACTATAAGTAGGAATGAACGGGATTGCACTTATCAACAACTTCTGATCTTTTTTCTTGAGTACCTATCATAAATAATCTTAAAGTAATTGGGGAAGGCAGGTGCCATGGATTAAAATAATATCTAAAATTCATAACTACCGTGACTTCCCAAATATGACGAATGTTAGGGTTACGCAGCATTCTAATGACTAATTCCAAGATACCTCTGGGGGGTAAACTTCGATATGGTGGACTGTATAAAAAATGAGGGATGTGAGATATATTATGTTAAGATCAGCTTTAGAGACACACTGTGAGCACAAAATAATAAACTTTTAAATAGGAAGAAATGTGATTTGGTACCTTCCTTTTTACTGAAGTGATGTCTAGTAGACCGTTGACGCACTTGATGTTTGCTGGCCAGCTTTCGCGTACGCGACCGGTAGTTGCACCAAGAACAGTTTGAATACAGTTTTTAACTATTCAGTTCACTTTTTTGTTAGGTGTGTCACAAATAAATACATAAGATAAACATACGATAATATAAGTTCAATTTATATGCCACAAATAGAGTAGGGGAATATTATAATACAAAACTAGGGAAAATGGCGAGAACATGATGCCGGGTTGAAGAGTACATGAGGAATGGGGGGAATTGCCAGACATCACGTGACAGGGCAAGGGTCAGAACAAAATATGAATGAAGTCTGGATTCACCTAGGTTGCGTAGATGCTTGAATACGGAACAACCTCCCTCTATGCCGGAAATCGGGGGTCAACAACCCTACGCTATGATGTAACCAACCCCCGTAAAAATATTACACGCACGGGTATATAGTGCTGGTTCTTTAAAGTAAAAGTAATGCATAAATTTATAGTTCATCCCAAACTATGTTAACCACGTTCGCCACACCGCGTATGCAGATGCAGAACGGCTGTTACTGAATTTGCCTTCTTCATCGACATTTTCCGATACTTAACTTGATTTCTGATAAGAATTTTAAAAATCTGCTTTTATGTTTAGAAATTATTAATGTGCACATTTGTATAATAATATGCTATAGTGATACATAGTAAGCAATATAGCAACATAATTGTTGTGTGTAGGATGTGACAATCAACCAAGCAAAAAATATTGACGGAGTTTTTAAAGTTATTTAATACATACGAATAAATGTAATTGTTTGGATTTTTGAAATTAAATATCAATAATAGTCACAGTTATTGTTTTAAAAAAAATAGTGAAAGAAGATATACCACATCACTTATTGCATTCAACATTACAACATGTAAAACTAAACATGTATTGGACTTCCGTCCCGACGTAAAACCTTGTATTTATGTTTAACTTTTATCGTTAAATTATCATACTATCTTCCATAATACTCAATACGATAAGGGGTTTTCATCATATTAATGCAAAAACAACGATATTTATACCACATGCATTGCGGGTCTTAAGTAACATTTTTATTCCATAGGGAGTAAAAAAAGCTCTTGTAAAAAGTTGTGAATTCCGATTGTGTCATCAATCAAAATTATTTATCGATTGATTAATTAGGTAAAGGTTTATCCTATTGTTGCTTTGTTGACAGTAGCTGGACATATCGATGGTATAACGTATTTATTGTAAACACAATCGTAATAGAATAAATTATTTAAATCACTTTCTAAACAGCAACTTATTTACGTTAGCAGTATTGAAAACAAGTGGGAAGTTATACAATAAGGGTTTCGTCTATATCCGTCGGCCTATGGTCAATCATGTAAATTAGTCGTACACATAATTAAAAACCCCTACGCTTATGTTTAGAATTAGTTTTGTTCATATTGGATCGAAAACAGTTTTACCAATACATACAAATTTATCTATTTGCATATTTGATATTGTTTCAACAGGAAAAGAAACTAAAACAGCAAAAGAATTAAATAGGATATTAACAGTCATAATATACATGGAATATAGGGTTTCATTTGACTGCTCCTTCATTATTTTTAGCTCTTACAGCTGTATTTGGAAATTCATTGAAACATCACCAAACAGCTTTAGCTAAATATTTGCGTCCCCTGCATATTATAATTTCCATATTCATGTGAGAGATTCCCGTTTCTCCCTCGCCCCTCCCAACTACCTGGCCTGCCGTCGTGGCTTTCGTCCCCAGGATTAAAACTTCTCAACCCCTCGCTAATTGCCGTGGCTTACGTACCCCCAGCTTATAGCGATAAACATTCGTGGCTTTCGTCCTGCGCCCGTTGTGATTGTCTAACAAACTAATTACAATATTCTGTGTCAAGCGATAAATTAATCAGCTGTTTGCTATGATACTGCATTGATTTTAATTAAAATTTAACCAAATTCACTAGTACCCTCTGGTGAGATGGTCCTGAACTTCATATATTTTCCTGACTTCAAATTTTTACAGTAAATGGGAAGTCTATTTTGTGTATAGTCAACGATAATATAATCCAACGTTTAAGATTGCTCAGTAGCTTACATGTTTTACTGCTAAGAAAAGAACGTAGTTGTGTGTGTTAGTCACAGAATGCGCTAGTGTCCTCAAATCCATTTTCTACCTTATTTTTTGTTGCTGACCAAGTTTATGAGTCATAACCGTTGCTTTCGCTCACAAGAAGTCATTTAATTATTTTTGACATGGTAAAAAAGTTTGTGTATTCGACAGATAATTGTAATTTAGATCAGAACAATCTGTTGGTGACTCACATCAACTACGATGATTTTGATCTTGAAAAACTGGCGACAAATTTAACATAGGGATGGATTGTCCGGTTGTATAAAAATAGTCAGAGGTACTACAATAATATAATTACTGATCCTACCTGATTCCAAGGAACTCGGACAACAGCACGGCAGGAGCAGTGAAGGTGTCTTTAGAGTTGGTCACCTTGGTACAGCGATGATCACAGCTCAATTCAGAGTTAAAGCCTGAAACAAGGTTTGATAGTAACATTTTGACTCAGTAATATTTCTTCACACTACTATGTAGATTTGTTTGGAAATCGAATAATTGAAAAGTATTAAATATAAGCAAAGATAATACTTAAATGTGTTTCAGAGGGTGAGATAGAGGCTGGTTGGTAGCAGTTTACTTGTTAGCGCAAGTTTCTAAAAGAAGTATGAAAACACAACAAAATGAAAATCCTTTATTAGATTTGTTAGATTTATTAAATTTTAATATGAGTTTTGAATATCTTAGAGTAGCTTACTTTGCTTTTTGTCAGTCCCATGTTCCCTATGGCATTACTCTTTGGGGCCATTCAAGTTTTGTGCAAGACATACTTACAATATAGAAAAAAATCATTAGAACAACTTTTAGGACAAGTGACACTGAACATTGCAAACCACTTTTTATAAAACTCAAGCATTTTAAAGGGTGCGCCAAAAAAACCTGACGGTTTCTGTTTTGTAATAAGTCAGCTGTTATACTAGCTAGAGACCTCATTGTTGTAGTGAACGATTGCTTATGTTATGCCATTTTTAGGTTATGTTTGGTAAAACTCACGTCGTCAAAAGAAAGTTACTGTCTAGTGTGGTGCAGTGTGGTGTGGCACTGTTTGGAGTCATCGGACCATATGTTTTTGAGGACGAAAATGGGAACACTCCCCTGTCACTGTGAACTCGGAACGTTATTTGGAAATACTGAGGGGGTTTTTGGTTCCACAACTGCGGATGTTATGAGGAATAGACATGACTAACACGTGGTTTCAACAGGACGGCGCAACTTGTCATACAGCCAATTATTCAATGTCAGTTTTGCGTGAACTCTTTGCCGGTAAAGTGATCTCTTGGTTTGGTGATGTGGTCAGCTCGATCCCCAGACTTAATTTTGTGAGACTGTTGGCTGTGGGGATACTTAAAAAGCAAAATGTTTGTTTTGAAATTTCAAACCATCCCTGAACTCAAGCAGTGTATCAGGGAAGAGATTGCTTCTATTCATCAGGCGAAGGTGACTGCAAATATGCAAAAAAATGGGAAGCCTGTGTTTAGGAGAAGGCGATATAAACTGAGTGATATAATTTTTCATAAATGAAAATGGCATAGTAGTGTGTACAATATAACGTTATTTAATACATGAAATTGTAGTTTGTTATTGAGTTATTTGGTATTAAAAACCGTCAGGTTATTTTGGTGCACCCTTTATTTCAGTATTTTTATATAAAGTAATGACTGTTATTAATCTTTACATTTATCGCATTCTTTTTTTTAGACCAAATTACATATTTACAGATTTCAATGATAGAAAAACATTCCATAGCCACAACACAATTATATGCATAACTATCTAGAATAATAATCAGCTCGGCAATATTTTTACTATAACTTATAATATTTAGACTAAGAATTGTTAATCTGTTCTTTATATCTACATTAAATTCACAAAAAAAATAAATTCTGATATGTCGTCATATATCTGTGCATTAACATTTTGGTGAGAAATTATGTCATCAAATAAATATCTCCTCCATGAAAGGGGAAAATCAATGTAGGCCTACACAAATAAAAGATTTCTGATTTAACAAAAAGTTTTGAACCCTACCCTCGTGTAAAATATTGATTAAGAAATAACAAATTATCAAAGTACTGAGAAACAAACTTTTGTTTATTAATTACGAAAATACAACTATGAACACATGACTCATTCTGTATCCTAAATAGTAAACACTAATACAAATAATATTACTTATCGGTACAACGGTAAGAGTTTACGAAATTGCCTATCTGTTCTTATTATAACTGTGATCTTATCTGATTTACATGAATAAAAACAATCCTTAAAAATATATATTTTACGGTTGAAAGCCCAAAACTAAAGATTTATACTGAGTGACATGAAATTGTTTTGACCTAGACATTACTTTACACAATGGCCACTTTAAATGCATGAAATTTTGTTCGGCGTGATTCTTGATGGGGATTCTATATTTATTTATACCTATAAGAACAATAAGAATAAGAATATTATTTATTTTTAAAGTTCAGAGGTTACAATCTTGGTTAAAGAATAAATAGTACAAAAGAAAAATCCTCACAAAGACTGTACATCTGCGTATGGGGAGAGTCTTCTTTGTCGCTCACCACTTCACAGACTAAAGAGCACAATAAACAAATAATTAAAATAATATTGTGTGAGCGAACACAGTTTCTGGGTCATTTTTAAATTTCTCAAGGTACTCCCTCATATCTGCCTCAACCAGAGCAATGTTGTTAGAATGCTCTAGCTCTTCAGTCAGAGAGGTTGGCTCGAGTCCGTTACTGGATTGTGAGGGAAGTGGTGGGAATTCCTTCAGCGACATTGCAGCAGGTGTTGACCTCGCTGACACACACTCCTCAACATTAACCACTGTACTTTGCCTCTTGATATTAGCCTGAACACTATTTACAATAGATTCAACAAGCTTTTGTTTACCTCCATAGTTGAGTTGAGATGAAGTCCATGACTTGTAAAGCAACTTCTATGCAATTGAGTTATGTCAATGTAGGAGGGATCTGTATTTCCGAGTAATTTTTGAATGTTTTTGTTCATGATGTCAATTGTTTTATTCAATCTGTTGCAATCAAACCTATGTGAGATTATATTTCTCTAAAAACAAAACTGACTACCACTTTTGCAAGAGGTAAAACATATTGCAAATAGATTAAAAAAATAATTAAATTTGGTTAAAAACTACAGAAGCGGACAAGAAACCAAAACCAGGAACTAATTTCAAAACAATATAACTTGACTCTGTTGGATTACCAATGTATCCTCAATGTCTCTATCAAGCATCCAAAGTTTCAGATTATAGAGGGGCAACTGTATACTTAGAGCTTGCACAGTAATACATTTAACTGTTACAAATAACAAACATTATTAGTACTTACTCTGAGAATTGAGATCCATATATTGAGCAAGCCCATGAAGGACTTTCCTGTCATCATTCCCAAGGGGATCACTGATGTATTGTCCAGTGGGTTCCGCAAGGAAGAACTCATGAATGCAAGGTTCCAAACTCAGCAATGTCCCCTAAACAGGAGCGGTTAATTAAACTATGTGTCACAACAGGTCTCCAAGTGCACCCCCAGCTTTTACAACTGACATTATGTAACCAACCAATCCTGCTTGTGGGGAATTTATGTTAATTTATAGGTAAGCAATGTGGACTGTATTAAAGTTATTTTAAAGTTGGAGACACTAATCTTTTAACATAAAACTGGTGTGTAGACTGGGGGCCCCCTTTGATGTTTCCTGAAATGCTTATAATGTTGATAAGTTCACTTTATCACACAACTAGTTATAAGCCAGCGGTATTTAGTTATGTTGGTATGGAGCGGTTTATGGTATTTGAAAATGTATTAATATGAGAGAAGGCGTCTTAAGTCCTCATAGCAACAGGACTTGCCCAAGAGTGTCCCTACACTACAGAAGGAAGGAGTTGGTTATGTGATACATCAGTGACCAATCAGAGAGCTAGTTTTGAAACTATTGGGATTAGAAGATACTGATGCACTCTATGAGGAAAACATTTAACATTTGAAATGGTATTTAAATAGAGATTATGGTGAAATTATTAGAGTGCATTAAAATTTAAATCAATATAAGAATACGTAGAAGAAAATAGTTTATATATTTGACAAACTGCTGTCTTCACTGCAGCCAAAATGTTCAAAACTTCTACACCCTAAAGGTTCTTTAAAAAGTCAATCCAACCCAAAACTAAAAATGAAATTCTAAAATGGCCTACAAAGTTAAAAGTATGTTTACTTCTATTACAGGGTGTCCAGGAAATTCACCAGGCCAACCAGAAAATTCATGAGTAATTCCAGGTAGTTCAGGTCTTACTTTTCATACTCAACTTCTCAACCTCGAGGTTATATCGTGATCATCTACCACTGTCGTAATAACACCATCATCGTTTTCCACTAGGGATGGACGAGATTGGATTTTTAGTTCGAGACGAGACGAGACGAGATTTTTTATTTCTCATAAAATTTCGAGACGAGATCGAGACGAGATTTATCTTCTCATACACAACGGGAAATGCACGTTCGAAATTTTTACCTGATTTTGTAACATTGTTAGATGACTGTTTAAATACTAAAATAATGATAATAGGCAAGAATATTTACAATCTTTCATTAAATAACATCAGCATAACATTTTTTTATTAATCACGCCTAACTTATTAAAAATGCCTACGATTAGGAAACATGGTGATATCAGTTAGGATAGAGTTCAACTTATCCTAAAATAAAATAAATCATAAAATAAAAGCAATATTAATTTTTATAAAATAGTTACTTGTTTTGACTTTTTTTATAGTAATAAAACATTCCTGACACTGCTTACACTTAACAAAACTTCTCAAATGTTATTAAAGTAATATTAATAAAATAATGAAAGTAATATTTACATTAAAAGAATTAATTAAATAAGAACGCCTTCGAAAAGGAAACGCAACTACAACACGCTCCTGTATTGCGGGTGTTGCATTGACTTTCTGCAGGCGTTTAAGTAATCTCGTCTCGTGTAACGAGATTGAAAATTTCCCGAAAATTTCCCGAAATTTCGAGACTTGACCATCCCTATTTTCCACAATAACTGCAAAATCCTGAATATCTCCCTCAGTAACAGAAACCTTATAATAATCTCCAACGATCACAGAAAAGTTATCATCATCTTCCGCGATCGTAGCTTAATTCTAATAATTTCCCGCAGTCATCATCGTCAAACAATAATTTTAGGACATCATCACACGGAAACGTGAACGTCTTCTCCCGCGGTCACGGAATCGCGACAAAATCACTAAAAAATCCCACAGCCATTTGCAGTATGTCTTCGTTAACGTCTCCTGCGGTCTCGGAAACGTCATCGTAGTTTCCCGCGATCACAGAATCGTCATCATCGTTTCCCACGGTCACGGTAACGTCATCTCCCGCAATTACGGAAACGTCATCGTTGTCTCCTGCGATCACAGATTCTTCATCGTCGTCTCCCGCTGTCACGGATATGTCATCGTCATTTCCCGCGGTCACGGAAACACCATAGTCGTCTCCTGAGTCACAGAAACGCCATCATCGTCATGAGCAATCGCGGCAAAATCACTAAAAAATCCCATGGCCGTTTGAAGTTTAGACATCATCATCGTCTCCCGCGGAAACGTCATGAAACATCTTTTTATTCCCTGGAAGAGTACTGTTCTGTATCTAATTAATTATTACTATATTTATCATCATAATTATTGTTCAATTAGTGATAGCTTATTTCCAAACCAAATCTGTATTTTTAAATCTCATTTCAATTTCATTAAGTATTGTTGTATCAAATGTTAGAGTCTCACTCACACAAGCCTACATAAAACACACACACTATCTCGGCTGTGTTGCCCGATGCAGGACGAATCTTATTGGTTAAAAAATGTGGCGTGATATGGACATGGATAAATTTGCGGTACCCCTCTAAGAAACATTGAGGTAGCGTCCCTTCCCCCTCCAAAAATAATGTTCAGTTGAAATGTAACTCTCCTCGGCTGAATACGTGCATTGCGCCGTATTTCGTTAGTCGTTCTCTGTTTATAAACTTTTACCTCTAAAACCGCTTCTCGGACTCTCTAACGCTCTTCTATCGTTTGTCACGAACAATTAATAAAACTTTCTCGACGTCAAACTCTGTAAAGGGTGTTTTTCTTAAATAAGTTATTTAGTACGTTATCGCTGCCGCCGCTAAGCAGTTACGTCCGCCGCGTCTTCGTCGCGAGTGCCTGTGTCAAGTGCCAACTTTAGTGGATTAGGATTACTGGATTCCCCACAAGTGTTCCCCAAAAGTGTGCACACTTCCCTCATCTCTACTCAACCTACAAGTTGGCTACCCTCTTCCCAAGACGTCGTCTTCCGCCATCCACTCACGGCTTCCGCACATGTGCCACCTCTACTCTCTAGTGTTTCTTGTTACTCTTCACCCTTGGATTATTGGTGAGTCATATATTACCCTCTTTACGCCCCATTTAATGGTCCTTCGAGCCGGATGTTAATGGACAACGCTATGGACTTTAACAACCATCTTATACAACAGTAATTAACTCTCAATGAACTTATTCACCATGTGCTAAAAAAAACTGTGAAAAGTGCGTTTGCGTCTCCCTTAAAAACTATGTAATAATTATTCACTCGAGTAAACGGATTCGTTGACCGAAAATCTTACTTATAGTTGCAATATAATTTACTGCAATTTTGCTCAAATGATTTGGCGCTCGATCAGCCATTTTTGATTTGATCACGCCACCGATATCGTTTACTTCGTTCCCGCCCAATGTTGTTCCCGCCTCCACATTCAGCGCGTTGCATTCAACTTTGATGCGCCGACGCGACCTATGTTTGCAGATCACGTGGTCAGTTCCCCCTCACGCACCGAACGTTGCCTTTTCGCAGACGTTGCGCTCCTTCCCCCCTCAAGCACAGCTGATCGGCGCGGTGCAGACTGATACGTCACTCCCTCCTGTCATATGATTGAGACACCAAAATAAACAAACCACAACACACTCTCTCATTCTCATTGTCATTGTACTTAGATATTGTTATATCTATTGCTATTTTGCTGTAATGTAAATAATAATTCATTGAGAATATTCCTGGATATATTTATTTTAGTAAATAATTATTTCCTCTCATTCAACTCGCTTGTAAACAACTTAAGTTATTTGGACAATCTGATTATTTTCTGAGTTCGGTTCTATTTTAATTGGAGTATTTTAATTATGTATTTTAATTTTAATTTTTGATATCTTGCCAGCTATTATAGGCTCACATTTGCAGTTAAATAGCTATTAACTGTCTCTTTGTCATTGTAATGTATTTGGTTATATTTTACTTTATTGGTGAAAAAATGCATTTATGTTTTTGATGTGTTCGTTATTAATTAATTATTCTCTCATAAAACTTACTGATTAAGCTCACTGCTTTTTTAAAATAATAAGTAGGCCAATAATTCTTATTATTTTATTATTTTGTATTTTATTTCCAATTGTATTTAAAATAGGCTATCACAATGCCTACCCCAGCTGTCATCAAGTTTAGTACTTATGAGCGTTCAACCGCTTTAATTAAGGCAAGACTTGATAAAATCCTCACTGCTGTCCAGGCTATTGCTGCCCAACAACCACCACTTACTACAGTGCATTATAGATCGCTGGCGGCTTATGCTAAAGAATCTAACAAAAAGCGTGCCGACTTTGAAGGTAATCTTTACCGTGTTTTGGAAAATATAGATCCTGAGGAAGCTCCCACTACTCTACACTACTCAGTTGTCTGATGATCAAGACACAATTAACGATACTCATGTTAAGATACAAAGTATTATTGAATCTCTTGACCCAGTAGATGAACCAAAGACTCCCTCGGCTCATAGCGAGGCAGGTTCAACTGCACCCACTCTAGCTCAAGCCAATATTAGGCTACCGAAATTGGAATTAAAACAGTTTGACGGCAATCCTTTGCAATGGGTTAGCTTTATAAATTTATTTGACTCAAGTGTCCACAGAAATGCTAGTATCTCAAATGTGGCTAAGTTCCAGTACCTACTAAGTGTCGTGTCTGGCGAGCCCTCAAGTCTGATCAAGTCTCTTAACATCACTACTGCTAATTACTTAGTAGCTTATCAGCTCCTCCGAGAACGCTATCATAATACGAGGCGACTCATAACCTTGCACTTAAATCAAATAATGGACTTACCTGACATTTCCTCAGGGTCCATCCGCAACCTTAGAAATTTCATAAATCTTTATTATGAACATTCTGAAGCGCTAAAAGCTCTTGATTGCGATGTTTTATCAACATCAAATCCCCTCCTCTCAGCCCTCATTTTGCGGAAAATGGATACCGATCTACGCAAAAAGCTAGAAGCTTATCGATCGAGCCAAGATTGCGAAGCACACTCACTACCGGAAGTTTCTGATATAATCAAGTTTCTAAACGTTGAATGTAACCAAGCAGAGGATGAAGGGCTGCACTTGCCACAAACCCCTCGCAAGG